CGGCAATGATGATGGTCAACACACATGCAGCAATGATGATGGTCAACACACATGCAGCAATGATGATGGTCAACACACATGCAGCAATGATGATGGTCAACACACATTCAGCAATGATGATGTCAACACACATGCAGCAATGATGATGGTCAACACACATGCAGCAATGATGATGGTCAACACACATGCAGCAATGATGATGGTCAACACACATTCAGCAATGATGATGTCAACGCACATACAGCAATGATGATGGTCAACACACATGCAGCACTGATGATGGTCAACATACATGCAGTACTGATGATGGTCAACACACATGCAGTACTGATGATGGTCAACACACATGCAGCAATGATGATGGTCAACATACATGCAGCAATGATGATGTCAACACACATGCAGCAATGATGATGGTCAACATACATCCAGCAATGATGATGTCAACACACATGCAGTAGTGATGATAGTCAACACATGTGCAGTAGTGATGATGGTCAACATACATGCAGTAATGATGATGGTCAACATACATGCAGCAATGATGATGGTCAACACACATGAAGCAATGATGATGGTCAACACACATGCAGCAATGATGATGGTCAACATATATGCAGTAGTGATGATGGTCAACATACATGCAGTACTGATGATGGTCAACACACATGCAGCAATGATGATGGTCAACACACATGCAGCAATGATGATGGTCAACACACATGCAGCAATGATGATGGTCAACACACATGCAGCAATGATAATGGTCAACACATATTCAGCACTGATGATGGTCAACACACATGCAGCACTGATGATGGTCAACACACATGCAGCACTGATGATGGTCAACACACATGCAGCAGTGATGATGGTCAACACGAATGCAGCAATGATAATGGTCAACACACATGCAGCACTGATGATGGTCAACACACATGCAGCACTGATGATGGTCAACACACATGCAGCACTGATGATGGTCAAAACACATGCAGCACTGGTTATGGTCAACGTACATGCTGCAAAGATGATGGTCATTACACATACAGCAATGATGATGGTCAACACACATGCAGCAATGATGATGGTCAACACACATGCAGCAATGATGATGGTCAACACACATGCAGCAATGATGATGGTCAACACACATACTGCAATGATGATGGTCAACACACATGCAGCAATAATGATTGTCAACACATGCAGCAATTATGATGGTCAACATACATGCAGCAATGACGATGGTCAACATACATGCAGCAATGATGATGGTAAACACACATGCAGCAATGATGATGGTCAACAAACATGCAGCAATGATGATGGTCAACACACATGCAGCAATGATGATGGTCAACAAACATGCAGCAATGATGATGGTCAACATACATGCAGCAATGACGATGGTCAACATACATGCAGCAATGATGATTGTCAACACACATGCAGCAATGATGATTGTCAACATATATGCAGCAATGATGATGGTCAACACACATGCAGCAATGATGATGGTCAACATACATTCAGCAATGATGATGGTCAACACACATGCAGCAATGATGATTGTCAACACACATGCAACAATGATTATAGTCAACACACATGCAGCAATGATGATGGTCAACACACATGCAGCAATGATGATGGTCAACACATATGCAGCAATGATGATGGTCAACACATATTCAGCAATGATGATGGTCAACACATATGCAGCAGTGATGATGGTCAACACACATGCAGCAATGATGATGGTCAACATACATGCTGCAAAGATGATGGTCATTACACATACAGCAATGATGATGGTCAACACACATGCAGCAATGATGATGGTCAACACACATGCAGCACTGGTTACGGTCAACATACATGCTGCAAAGATGATGGTCAACACACATGCAGCAATGATGATGGTCAACACACATGCAGCACTGGTTACGATCAACATACATGCTGCAAAGATGATGGTCATCACACATACAGCAATGATGATGGTTCTCTGCACTGTGGGGTAGTAGTGTGAACAACTACACATCTGATGAAAATTTACACTCTGCACCACTTTACAAGAATACATATTAACAAAAATACACACCTTTAACAAAAATACACATCTGTGATATGGACTTTATGTATGTTTGGTAACTTATCTATATGATGAGGTAATTTTGTACAGTGTAGTTTTAATGAAA